GAAAACTAGGAATCTCACTAAGAAACTCGAAGAATTCTTGAAAATTCAGAGAACTCTAAGAAAGAAAGAGTTCCGAGGATTTATTATCAAGAAATATTTGATATAATATAGAGAAAAGCAAGAATGATTTTCTTTTCAAAAAAAATCCCCGCATTGATTGCAGTCAATTATCTTTTATAACTACAACCAAACATTAAACAGAAAAGATAGTTACTAACTATCTTAACTACCTATCAATTATATCATTCATATATATGTATATATATATTAATAATTACAACACATATACTATAACAATTATAACAAAGTGATCCATAATATAAAATAAAAGAGATAGTTAAAAATCTATTTGGTAAACGTTTTTGAAAAACACTTAAAAATAACAAGTTTATCATTTCCTTGTATCTTCAAAATTATTTTTTTAATTTACATAAATTATAAGTTAAATGTTAATTTAACTTGTGTTTACCTGTCTCGGACTAGTAATGTGCCACAAACACTGCCCCGTTGACTAGACTTCTGAAAATCTTCCGAAGCTGGAAAATCGTAGGGCCAACTTTGAACCTCCTCGTTCGTCTAGAACCCATTTATGCGGTCTTAGAGTTAGTGCTCAGTGTAAAAAAAATTATTTCTTAATTCATTGTTATCAATTTTTCTTACATATGAAACAAAAAACTTCAAAAGTTTAACAATTTGATTGTGAGACTGAAAAAACCTGATTTTTAGCGTCTTCCCATAGAACTAGGGGATCATCACCGTCTAACAAAGTGTTAAGATAAACAAAAGTTGGCCCAAAAACTTTCTTCCATGGCTCGTTAGGTTGGAGTTTCAGAACTATATCCTCTCCTGCGTAATGAGCACTCAGAAACATCTGACACATCCAACAAAATTGTGTAAGGAGGTAAGTTCATCCTTAACAAAAAATATTTAATTGCATATCATATTACTCAACTATTCATATTTTATGAACTTTATTATATTACTTTTTTTCTCACATATTTTATTATTATATTTTCAATTTCTATATATTCTATCCATATGTTAAATTTGAAATATGGTGTTAACATGTTATTAAAAATCGATGTCATGTTATCACTAACTTTTACAAAACAATGTCGTCTGATGATTAACATGATTGTAAAACGCATAAAAATTAGAAAAAATATATGACCATAAAATGTGTAAAAAAAAAAAATCTTAGGTGTAAAGTATGTAAAAATTTAAAATTTGAAGGTAAAGTTTGTAAAATAATGTTAATTAAATAATGAAGTGTATAATTAAGGTCCTAAAAATAAACTTACAGCTAGACTTGTTGGGCCGACATGGGAAGTAAGATTCTGTTTTACTGGACCACCTGATCGAAACTCATTATTGGGTATGATTACCCAAAACCCTGTGACTGGATCGGTTTCAGATTGAGAACTTATCCATCCATGAACCATAAGATCTTTGTTCTCACTTGAGTATTGGTACTTGTCATCCACCTTAATCAATAAATAAATAAATTTCATTAACAATTCAAACAATAATTAATTCTAATTTTGAGGTATCCTCTTTCTTAATGGTTCATAAATTAATAAAATAATGTAAATCATTTTGAAGTATTATATCACGCGTGTGTGAAAGAGAGACCAATGAATTTTTTTTTTCAGAGATATTTTAGAGAGAATAGTACTTTAATGATGAAATTGCTAGTTTACTCTTTATAAAAACCTACGTGATTTTAAAAAAATAAAAATGGTTTAACAATTTTTAAGCTAAAGTTATCACCATTTTAAACTAAAAGTTATTGAGTGTTTTATTTGTTTTTAATTTTGATATAATAAAAACATTTATATATTATAAACTAAAAATAATGTATGTAATAAAAAATAATTAATTAATATCTACTACTTTCTCAATTGACTTAAAATTTGGAGAATTTTAAAAATTATTCTGTACAAAAGTATTTTTTTTCTAAAAAAAAATGAAAATAAAAGATATATTAATAAAAAACGAGAAATGTAAATAACGTATATTTGTAAGTCAAGTAAGCCTCACATGAATAATTTTTTTCTTAATATTCCTAATAGAAAAAAAGATAATAAAATTTTGAAATGAATTTTAATAAAAGCAAACATCATATTTTAGTTTTTCATACAATTTTTAAAAAATATTTTTAACTTGTAATTTTTATAGGCTAATTAGTTATCTAATAAATATTTATAGAAAAATTTGATTTATGAGTAAAAACAAACTGAGTTGACTTTCCATATCCACCTTAAAGTGAAATAAAAAATAAATAAAATAAAATAAAAAAACACCAACAGGTCATTCATGGTAGGAAAATTGAATACTATGTATGAAAAATTAAGTTGAAATCACCTACATATCACTGGTAAACACCAAGAAAGAGATATTAAAAGTTGAATAAAAATAAGGGAAAAAAAGTTTAAAATGTGGATAATAATAATATGTTTATTATTAAACGTTTCTATATTTACGTTTTTCAATAATATTAATTATTTTTAAATTTTATTTTATCATTTGTATATTATAATTTTTCTCTATTTTTTAAACGTATTTTGTTTTTTCTTCATTTTTTCTCTCAATTCTTTTTACTAACATTTTTTAAATATATAATATCATAATAACTATTTTTTATATTATATTTTTTTACTGATTATAAAAAAAATTCATCTTATCTATAATGTTATTTTTTATAAAAAAAAAAATAGTATCTCGTATCACACAAAAAATATTAAAAAAAAAAAAAAAAAAAAAACTCTGTATATAGTACAGACAAAAGTTTCAAGTATATTATTTTTGGTTTGTTTTTTTTTATTAAAAGGCACCTCTCCCTTAAACTCTGGCTCCACAGGATTCACGAGCAAAACTGCTTCTGGAGGAACAAGTTCAACTCCTCTTCCGGGTAATCTGTCTTCAGGGAGAGGCATAAATCTCTGTCTATCATCCGACACGACCATGTAATGAAACCTACGCAAATCATTTCTCAACATCATCTTTAGAAACAAGATCCTTCAACACAACATTAGTATGAAACATGTAATATTTAAGGTTAATTAGTCCTTACTTGTCTTTACCAAGCTTGTAAACAATCCTTATCTGAGGTATGTTGAAAGCAGGCCACTCCTGTAGGTGTTCAAAGATGGCGTAGGAGTAGAATCCTGACGAATTACAAAGCATCACATACCTGCAGAGAAATATTGTGTAAATGTAATTAATTAATTAATTGATCAATCAATTAATAATTAATTATCAATGATGATTGATTTCAATCTCATGTAATCTAATGTACCTTATATCAATATTAAGAGGGGCTGTCTTTCCCTTGAGAGATGGATCCCACTTACTTGTGAATGAGATCTCAACAAGTTCCTCCTTTTCCGTTATAACATTAAAACCTGTTCCCACAATCCTGCACACGTGTAGCCCATTAATTGAAAACTACCTCGTTATAACATTATTAAAGACATCATTATTATTTTCATTCAAAATATCTCCGGTAATGTTTAGATTTTATAAATAAATTTATAAAATAAATATTTCAAGTGATACTGCAAACTCATATTTTAAGAAAATAAAATATATTAAATAATAAAAGACCAAAAGAAAATTCAAATAAGAGAATGATCCCATACCGTTCAAATGTCCCTGTTGTTCCTGTACTTCCAGCTTCGCTCCAAACAACGTCCCAGTACCTATGAATGCATTATTTAAAGTAACCATAAAGTCGCATGAATAATGAGGAAAAATTGTTACGAACACGCACCAAATCTGAATCTCAGTGTGCACATACATACATACCCTCTATCTCCTCTTTTGTTATTACGAGTTTCAAGCAGATTATCAATGCCATTATATTGAATTCTGGTAACAAATCCACCAGGGTTGGATAAATACACTTGCACTATGCCATTGTCCATGACCACCTGCAATAATATCAGAATATTAATTTGTTATGCAATGCTTCACTTGATCATAAAAAGAAGAAAACAATGCCTTACTTGATCGTCTTCAACGAACAACTTCACTGCTGGTGAGGCCATGGTGATGGATCTATGCCAAAATCTTGTCGTAGAATATAGTCTTGGTTGAGAGTATTTATTTGATATGCAAGTTTTGTGAGATAAGAGACTCTGGTCTGGTTTTGCTTTCAACCAGGGCAATAATTTATTCTGTCTATTTATTTGTTTGGTTTTCATGGTCATATACGTCTTTACTCAAGCAAGCCGTGTACGTTTAGGATTGTGACTTTTCATTAAACAGTTATATTTCTTGTCTTAGCTTAAAGTTTTTGTCATATATTTAATACTCTAACAAACATCACATGCTTGACCACAAGATTTATAGTAAAGAGAAAGCAAATCTTCGAAATTTGTGTAATTAAACAGTTATATTTCTTGTCTTAGCTTGAAGTTTTTGTCATATATTTAATACTCTAACAAACATCACATGCTTGACCACAAGATTCATAGTAAAGAGAAAGCAAATCTTCGAAATTTGTGTATGATACATAAGGAACATGTGTGGAAGTTGCAAAGTTTTTAATCTTCCCTAATCTTGTCCTTATAACGTTTTAAGCGATGATCCAATATGAATATGTAATATTTGAAATGACTACTTTGTAATGTATTTTGAGAAACAAAAGCTCAACGAAAACACGCATTACCCTTACGTTGCCGTTTCATGTCATTGTGACAATGGAGAGCTGTGCTAGTTTGTTATGTGTTGAGTAAATTGTTTATCACATCACCAGATTTCAAAACAATTTTTTACGTAGAAAGTCTACGTAAAGTAGTTTTACAACACCCAATTTATCACTATTTCTGTTTATTACATTTTTTTAATTAATAATTTTTTTTCATTTTTTTAATTACTATTTCTCATTTCCTGCAGATTTTTACAAATCAAATACAAACTTATAAAAAAAATTATTTATTTCACGAAGAACTTGCCCAGTTTACTTAAAATGCAAATTTGGCAGACAGAACCTTAATCAGACCAGTCCACTAACATCTCCGAAAAACTTAAAAGAAATGGAAATGACAAAAAAGAAAGCAACTTATTCTCTGTTTATCACGATTATCATCATCTTTAGTATAATTCTTGATTCAGGCTTTGGGAAGACTCCGAGTGTAAATGAAGAGCCATGTTAGGCATCATTCCTTGTTATACAGAGTAGTCAAATAGAGAAAGAGATGATAGATGATCTTCAATGCATCCTTTAATAATTGTGGTAAAAAAAACAACACATGGTCAGAATTTTTTAACAGAATTATTAGCAAAGCGTTCTATTTCTTGGTATTACCATCAGAATGAATAAAAAGGAACAGAAATCTCCTAAAACAGTGGAATATTTTCATCAAATGCAAAGCTAGAGTCATTTTCAATGAAGCATAAAACTAAATATATTTTATATAATGACAATGCCGATTTGTTTTCCACTTCTACATTAGCAAAAGTATATATCATACGGCTTCTGATGCAGGGGAATAGATTATACAGAAAATGCAGGTTGCTAAAAGGTTTTGGCTTTGTTGCTAATGCACATCACTGGGCTCTGCCTTCCTCTGTAGAAAAAAGGATCCCAGTATGACAGCAATACCAGTGATGGCTATTGTGAAAAGAAGGCGTTTAGTTGAGAAGTCATTCTGTGGCCTTCTTCTAGCATCTTGCTCTCCATCAGCGTCCCTCACATTCCTTCATACAAGTCATAAGAAATAGATTCATTATAAGCAAGAGACACATTGTCATGCATGAAAATGATAGACATAAATAAGTATATCCACGATATGCCAGAGGATGGTGTATCGTGATTCTAACATAAGATATTCAACTACAACACAAGCACTCGTTGACACATTTAATAAAATAACGAAATCAACTTCAAAATATTGATGTCCTCACACGTAAAATTATGAGGGAATAAAATATTATGTAAACAGATGATCACTTGATAATTACTTGCTCGTAAATTTTGTGCAGTATGTCCATGATCATGAATAGCATTAAATTACTTACTGATCCATTAAATCAATATAAGCTCAGATTCAAACAATGCTATCTACTTTACCCCAATAGTAGAAATATTTTCGTACACTTTTAATTGAGAATGTGGACTGTGTTAGAACAGTGTGATATATTATATCACAACCACCAAATGATGGGTCTTTGTAACTCTTTTTTAAATGACTTAAATATGTTTTTGTTCCCTTATAAATAACCGGAGTTTGTTTTTGATCTCCAGTAAAAAGAATTTAACTTTTTTTCTTCTATACTAAATTTTCTATTTAGTTTTTATTCCAAAAACGGTTTAGATTGCACTTTGAGCAATTAAATAAAGTGATTTAAATAGAGCTTTTGGTACCAAAAACAAAATAAAAAATTCATTAGCTATGAAGAGATTAAAAAAAAATTATTAGGGATAAAAAAACATATTTAAACTCCTGTCAATATACATCTTAAAACTTATCTAAAATAGTCCTTTGGGCTTTATGCATGAATAATGCCCACTCTATCTAGTGCTAGAATACAACTTAATTCTGAATGGATTGGCAAGGGAAAAAACTCTCGACCTGATAGAGATTCAAGGACGATGACCAATACTCCATACACTTTAACATGTTGAATGAAGACTAAAGATTGGATTTATGTCTTGTTACATAAAGTAACCAAACCAACAGTGTAATTCGAAGCTTGAAATGGAACGGATACACAGGCACTAACTCTACTGACAATTGGTGCCTTCCAAACAGTGCAATCATGCACTTAATACTTGCACGTGTGGCCCAAAATTAGACACAGGTAGACACAACCATTTCTTAACCCTCAGAATAGATGATAAGAAGTAAAACAACAACAAAAAAGTGTAGAAATGTATGCATAGTGAGAAATAAATATGCAAACTATAATGAGATTGCTGGATTTGGCCTACGAAAAATAAGCTACAATCCTATAACTGAGACATTGAGAACAAAATTTAAAAATAATATTAGAGGTTGTGCTCACAAAAGTGATGTTATTTCCTACCTTGAAGGGCCCACAGAACTATCTTGGATAATGCCATTGCACCGAGCTTCATGGCTGAATCTTTCACGAAGTCTAACATATTTGTTACAAAGGTGACAAAGTTCTGTTCGATTCCCACATACTTCCTGAAAGGTATAAATATCAAACTGATATAAGAGCAAAAGTATATAAGATATTCTCAACTTGAAAGTTCTTTATAAACACCACCTGATGCTCAGCCAGATCAATTGCTGGCAATGGAAACTCACAGAACTCACAAGTGACAATCCTTTGAGGGCAATTTTCACCTTTATGGATATCTAATATATCACGCTCCATTGTCTCACTGCATAATGAACAAGAAACCTGCACCAATCCACCCTTTACTTCAGAACTAAAATAATAGTGGATTTTAAATCTGACTTTAAGATTGTTACAGTTTGCCAAGACGGCTGGGTTTCAGGGAAGTGGTACACATATAGCCAGATATGATGCATATATTATATTAAATACATATTTGATATGTCAATACAACTGTTTTTAAAAATTAAAGAGGATAACATACAACTTTCTACGGTTCATCCATAGACAATCCTTCCATGTTTCTATCTTATGCATGCTTCTTTGTCTCATGTTATTCAGTATTAGATTTTCATAGCTTTTTCTTAAAGGCTCGGGAAACTTCATCCATACATTAGTATCAGTTGCGTGGAGAAAATGCAAGTATTGGTACCCACACTATTGAGCTAATATTCCAGATTTATTTTTTCTTCCATTTTCTTCCTTTATTGATATGATGGGTTCCTTCATTAAAGACTCTTATCATACCAAATAAACTTTACAGAAAATATAGATTTAAGCATCGACGGTCATGTATCATACAATAACCATGATACCATCAATTGGTCAAATAACTTTCGCATGCTACCCCTATTTTTTTATCTTCTTTACATGACACCACATAAACCACCAAAGGAAGACAACGAGGTTATACTCTCTGAAATACGGGAAAATAAAAAATCATGAATATATATACTTTAAGAAGTATTCTTTATATCCCCATTTATGAAACCTTCACTAGACCAACTGCATCCAAATAAATTATCAAATATCCAGCAGGCCACCCTTCCAGGCAAATCATATACAAATGCAAACCAATCCATGAGTTTATGAGTTAATTTTTATTGGATAGGTGTATTAAGTCCAATTCAATTTTAGGGTGGTTGATGAAATATCCAAAATATCCATTAGATATCCCCACTGACATCTTCCTAGCCCTTTTTTGTTCTTAACATCCTCCTAAAAGAATTTAGGATAGTAGTTGCAAAATTAATGAGAGTGGTTATAGAATTAGAAAGGCGATATCGAAGAAAGACATTCAGTGTTAGAATTTGGGTACTAAGTATTTGCTCTGTTATATCCTAGTAGAAAGGTGAACCCATTACAAAAATACCTTGTTCTATTCATTGATAGAATTTCAATAAATAAGCATTATTTTTTATCTCTGTTTTTCTCAGCTTTCTCTGTGAGAACGCAGAACCCATTCTGGTCCCTAACTGCTTCTTCCTGAAGCTTGCAAAAATTTTGGAGTCAGATGCATATGTTGGGGAGTTTTGAAACACCAACAACCCTCACTTCCCACAAGCAAACTCAAAGTCTCGTGTATATTCTCCCACAAGATTATAACACTGCACCACTATCTGTGTCTATGTTAAACAGATAAACAAAATGCACTAAATGAAATTGACAAATTTTGAGGAGTAAAAAAGCATTTGCAATTTTCTACTCTTGCCAATGCTTGCAACTCTGGATGTAGAGGTCAGCTACTTATGTTCAGCATTCGTCTTTACAATTTGATTTGTGTTAAGCTCTGTATTAGGCAGTCAATAATCCTTTACAATTTGACTTGTGTTAAGCTCATATGTATCAGGCAGTCAATATCCTTTACATATATACCGTAATTATCGTCTTCCTATTACACAAATTGGTTCCAAATAACAAGGACTTCCTACACACTCCACAAAATTGAACCTGGGAAAACAAAAAGCAACAACATTGAACTTCACGTACCGGTGCATGGGTGCTTAAATAATGGTCCTCTGCATTTTTTCTAGGAACCATATCACCACAAATTTTGCATTTTTCAAGTTTCCGAGAGCAATGAGCATAATGCAAGTCAATATTTGCAGCAGGGATGGCCCGATCACTGAAACAATGCCATTAAGATAAAGAAAAAAAATATCATGCATGAAAAAAAAAAAATCAATGCTTCTATTTACTCAACAGATAGTCGCAATTTCCCACCATTTTATTTATTATTCCAAATTTTGACACAAAACATTTAAATAAAATAAGCAATTGTTTTTTCAAAACTTAGAACTCAAACCTATAACTAATTTTACATGATCCAAAATCATTCTACAAAATTCGAGGCGTTTTACCAGTGAGTGCATATACTAGTGTCTTGATCCGGCACAGCTTCCATCTGCGAAGACTGGCACAATCTTCAGAAAGTAGAAAGAAGGTTGGGAGTTTCGGATTATACGAAGATTGGGAGAATTAGGTTTCGGACAATTTCGGATTTTGGCCAAACAAGGTTGGGTGGATCTTAGATTCCAATGTCTGGTGAATGGGTTTTTATTGTTGGGATGACTTTTGAGAGCCTTGGTCGAATGGATGATGGAAGATTTTTAACTCGTAAATAAAAGTGGTGTTGGATGTTGATTGCTGTTTGTTTGCGCCATTCGTGTGAGGAACAGTCATATGATCCATCCACCCATGTTCGTCTAATTGGGCCAATTTTGGGCTACCATTCTTATTAGTTTTTTCATTAAACGTAGTTACTTTTCGGTCTTTTCTTCCTGCACTGAAGATATCTTGTCTTGCACCATATAGACTGTAACATGATCAAATTGTTCTTAATTTTTTTTTTCAAACTTCATTGAACCCTTACAAAAAATCTATCCACCATTCTGGAAAAAGTGGAATAAATTATAAATACATCTAATTAAATTAATAAATTTTCTTAAAAATATATTATTTATAAACAAAATTCGAAATAAATCTAAAATAATAATACTCAACTTTATTATATCATCTAAGTAATTTGTTAGATGATAAGTCTTTTTACACTATCTATTGTTTAAAGTGTGATATAGCTAAAACCATGCGTATTAGATGGTACATAATCTAAATAAAACTAAATATTTATATGATTACAAATGTTATTTATATATGTTTTGCTTTTGAAGATTTTTTTAATGTTGTTTTTCTAAGATTTATTTCCACAAATCAGTTTGTAAAAATAAAGAAAAGTATTAGATAACAAAATTATATATATATATATATATATATATATATATATATATATATATAATTAGAGAAAGTATACCAACAAAAATTAAATAAATAATCTATTTTATTTTAAATATTCAATTTAACCATTGTATTTTATATTAATTAAATCATATACATTCAAAATTTTATATTATTTTGAAATTATTTACAAGTTTATTACATTGAATATTTTTGACATAGTACATGATATTTAAAATGTATATAAATATTTATTATTAGACAAATTTTTTTATAAAAATTTAAATCATGTAAATTTTGGTATATTTATCATTAAAACAATATTATAAATATTTATCATTCCTTTGTGGTGTAAGAGATAATAATTGAATGGCATAAACTTGCATTATTGAGTTGGAGTATACATGAGTGGTCTTCTATTAATTATTACACATGAATTCATTTGGTCTGTATTAGTAAACTTTCCTTGGAGTTTCCGATGATTCTAACTTTAGAATGTGAGACACCATCCTTAAACTTACAATTATGGGTAACGAGACCATCCTGCACTGTTCTCAATCTCTGCGCTTGTATCATTTGTCTGATGATTGACACTTGTCCATATCTTAAACTTTTACGACTTTCAGGCACACAATACACTCTTACTGCTTAATTATATTGCCTCGCGTGGTTCCATGCCCTTGATTTTCGCCTAATTATTCTCCGAGAATATCCATTGGTTGATGTTCCTTTCCGTATTATCTAAACTCATTTGTTGGTTGGGTCATCCAAAATGCTTCACGTGGTTTCGCCCAATCAAAAGCTACGCAACAAGAAGGAACACCAAAGTTTCAATATTCTTCCATCCTAAAAATATTATCTAATCGATTTAAGAATTGTAAATATTATCTAATCGATTAAAGATTGTCAAGATGATGTTTAGTTTTCAGGGTCTTATTATTTTGTCCTATTATCAATGGTGAGTTCAAAAGATTATATAGTAGTATATTGCATGTAAATATAAAATATATCTTTATCATTGATCATAATTATTGTTTAATTTCAATATTTTAAGTAAAATATGACTTAAAGTTCATTAATCATTAACTGACTGTAAAATAAGTTTGTAACCATGAGAAGTTATTAAGAAATTATGAGTATTTTCTAGCACTAAAATATAAAAATCTTATTTAAGATTTTTTTTTCAGTTTTAATCTATTAGTATTTTTCTATTTACGGAAATTAAGTATATGCAAAACAAAAATTTATAACAATTTACACACTCTACTCAACTATCTAAATTAAATTTTATTAATAATCTATTAACATATTTTAGGTTATATCTTTAGACTATTCAAACAAATTAAATAATAATAATAATAATAATAATAATAATAATAATATTGTTCACTTTTATTTTTATACCTACTCGGTTCAATTAAAAATATTCATTTAATTATGTTTTATCTATTTTATCTTTGATTAATGGATTGTCATTTATTATATTTTAGATTATTATTATTAATAAACTGTTATTATCTTAAGTAGTTATTATCTTATTATTTTTTTCTCTTATATAAGAAGACCTAGTTAAGGAATAAACTTCACCTCATCATTATTGTTCGAAGTTGAAGGCAAAATTGAAGTTGAGAACGCGCTCTACCAATCTCATTACATTCTCTTGCAGACCTCCATAAGAACAATTAACACTCACCGTGGAGTAAAGAGTCAAGTCTCGTTCCACTCTCATATCCCTAAGTCATCAACTGGGAGGTTATATTCCGATATGTTTATGAATCTCACATCGCTTAGGAGTCGAGGCAAATTGTAGTTTATATAGACTCTTCTCTCTTAATCAACCGAGATGCATTTTAAAAATAAAATCATAACGGATAAGTAAAAAAAGTTGCACTTTTACTAATGACTATAGCTTTTGGCCTAGTGGTAAACGTTTGATCCTAATAATTGGTATCAGAGTCAAGGTCACGAGTTCGATTCTTGGTGGACCCTTATTAAGGGGAGATTGTTGCAAGTTGCACAATTGTCCCGTGGGTCGAGTCATAATTGAATCGTGGCAACATTTCTCTAAAAGATATAGTTAGATTGATCATCTCGTTTCTCTTTTTCCATTTCTTTTATCCTGAGTTTCTGAGTTCCTCGAAAATTTTGCGAAGTTCTTATTGTATCCTGGGGACTTGCGCAATACACCGTGGATAAGTCCTTAAAGGGAGTGATTATGCACATCTCAGGAATCAAGTTTTGTTTGTCTTTGTCAGCATTTACAACAATCTTAAGGACTTATTGCTGACATAATGAAAATTTGAGAGGGTTTCGCGAAAACGGCAATGGCAGAGCAGAGAAACCGCTAAAGCTAGAATATCATCGGCTTCAAGTCGTGGAAGTCGTCGTTGGAGCAAAACAATCAAAAATTGTCTACACCATTTGCAAGGAGAGACTTCACCTCCTCGATTCCTTTGCACTATGTGGCTTCCAAAGTTGAGGAATTAAGAGACAAGGTTAAGCAACATGCCTTTCATCCCTAGCTTCTTTGGTGGTAAACAAAGCAATATCATCGATCCTTTCTCTCTCGACATGTGGGACCCTTTTAAGGGGTTTCCTTTCTCCGCCACTCTCGCCAACGTCACGTCCTTTAGTGGTGAAGAGAGTGTCATAGCCAACACTCGAGTGGACTGGAAGGAGACGTCGCAGGCCCACGTGTTTAACATGGACCTTCTCGGGTTGAAGAAGGAGGAAGTGAAGGTGGAAGATAGGAAGGTGTTGCAGATTAGTGGAGAGAGAAGCAAGGAGAAGGAAGAGAAAAATCATAGGTGGCACTGTGTTGAACGAAGAACTGTATAGTTATCGGAGTCGGAAGAGACAAACGAGTTGGCACTAAACATGAGTCATTTTATGGTTATTGAAATTGTTGTCTTTGATTATAAACCTGAGGTGATAGTGGCGAAAGAGAATCCAAAGGTGAATTAACAGGAGAATCACACATAATAGGAATATTGACACTAATAGATTGCAACACACATGAATAAGAGAAACACTTAAAATTAAAGGAAGACTCATTAAATGTGAACTTTAAAAATAAAATAACAATTAAGAGAAAGAGAAAAATATTTATATCTTTTTTGTGATCGAGTAAATCCTAAAAAAAAATACATTTATGTGATTTAGGAGATAAATTATCAAGACTATAACTAAAATTATGAATAAAATATGTAGATCCAGAAACTTTAAGAGGTAAGGGATGTAGAAGTTCATGAGGAAATAAAAGAGAATGAAGAACTTTGTTATTTAGAACCAAATATGACATGTGATTGATAACATAACATGCAGTAAGAACAACATCACCCAAAAATGTTTACGAACTTCACCATGAATCAAAAGAGTGCGAGTTGTTTCAACAAGATGTCAGTTGTTGCGCTCAACCACTCCATTTTGTTGAGGTTTATAAACACATAAAGTTTGATGAATAATGTCATGAGAAGCCATAAAATTTTTAAAAGAATAAGAAAGGTATTCACAGTCATTATCACTTCGCAATTCAAATAGAAATCCCAAACTGAGTTTTAATTTCATTAAAAAAGGAATGGAATATAGAAAACAACTCAGAACGATTTTTTATTAAAAACAACCAAGTACTTCTAGAATAATCATCAATAAAGGTAACAAAATACTGAAAACCTAAATTAGATTTAACATGATTGGGTCCCCAAATATCAGAGTAAATTAATGAAAAAGGAGATGAGGCATGTTGTGAGACACTACGAGGAAATGAACTACGACTATGTTTCCCTAATTAACATGACTCACATAATAAACTAGATAAATTGGACAAACTGGGAATAAGTTGCTGATTTGGCAAGACTGAGGTGACCTAGCTGAGCATGGAGGAGAGATGGAGATTTCATAACTGTACCAACATGTGTAAAATGACGGAGATGATAAAGACCATGAGAATCCATAACTGTATCAACATGTGTAGAAAGGAAAAGATGATAAAGACCATGAGACTCACATTTGGTGTCAATCATTTGTCTCGAACTCCATTCATGTAAACAAACAGAATCTTTGGTAAAAGAAATAACACAATCAAGAGAACAACTTAGACGATTAATGGATAATAAGTTAAAAGGAGACCCAAGGACATAAAAAACATTATCAATGGATAAAGATGGAAAAAGCTTAACAGTACCAATATTAAGAGGAAAAACCCTAGATCCATTAGCCAATGTAATCGAAGGTAAATTATTCGAAGAGGATAAAAAAAAAAAAAGATTTGTTCCTGTTAAGGTTCCAACATAAAACCAATTGGCAATATGTGGATTAGCCTAACATGTATTTAAACCATACCAAATGACATGAGGTAGGCGATGTGGGACTTTCAACACACCCCCTCCAACGAAGCCTGCCGGACCAGGCAAAGGGTACTTTTGACCTAACTAAAGGGCAACTTTTGGCCCATGACAATAACCGGAAAGATGTTAGGCCTTGGCTCTGATACCATGTTAAGGTTCCAACATAAAACCAATTGGCAATATGTGGATTAGCCTAACATGTATTTAAACCATACCAAATGACATGAGGTAGGCGATGTGGGACTTTCAACAGTTCCTAGTAATATGATATGTGGCGCCTGAGTCAAGAATCCAATGTCCAATAAAAGGAAATTTAGTTAGGTTAACAAAAGATGTACCTGTGAGTCCAACAGAAGTAGTGGAACTAGGATTCTGACGAGCCTCATACCATTTGAAAAATTAATTGAAAATAACATATTTGTTTGCAGTATAAAATGGCGTAGGATCCACAATACATGATTGTGGGACAGCGGAGGAAGCCATGGAGGAAGAGAGAAAAAAAACCTTAAAAACTTTAAATAACATGTGGAGACTTTGATTGTAGCGATCTCAATGACACGGTAGTTGCCTAATCGAGATGAGCATAATGATGTGGTTGCCGGTCTGTACTATGACTCAAGCAGCAATGATGGTGGCTCTAACGATGGTGGCGACGGTGGAGGCGGCAAGTGCAAGGGCAACGACGACGATGAAAAAAAAAAAGAACCTAAGTTCTAGATATCATGTTGAATATAGTGAAAAAAATAGGTATAGGATTAATTCCCTTATGTCTAAAATACACATAGGGTAATATATTTATAATTAAGAATCATACAAGTAAATATGGTAAATACATATATTGTAACTAATAGTATCTATAATATCTAAAATATCTAAAATATATATTAATGATTAATGTCAAGGTTATTGTTATTGATACCTTAGTCCACTGAGAACTAAGGTTCTCTTACTTTCATCTAGTAGGTATAATTCGAGACAGATAACTTGGTTAGTAAACTATGGTTAAAATATTAAATAACTATAATAAAATGGATCCATGTCCTATATATCAAAGCACATTTCGTAGTAAAGTTATCCAAGAAATTAGTGGTGTATAATAGTTGTAGTCATGCTTAAACATACATTAATGTTGAATTTGTGCTATGAGTCTTATTCTTATATACGCATAGTGCTTGCATAGTTGGCATGGTCTATTAGCCTTCCATCCACTAACATTTGTAGAGTTAGACATTTACTTTTGAAAGTTCATCTTGTTATCTGACTGCAATTTTTCGTAGACAGTGGTATGGGTTATACAACTTAGACGTTCTGATAGACTTTTAAAAGTTAATATTAATTATGCTACCATTAGTTATACAATAGAATTATTATGTTCATTATAGGTGGCTTTTTTAGTATTATGTTGAGTTTATTGAACATAATTTTCCTCTAAATATTAGTGAGACACATAAACAACCTAAAGATGTTAATAGTGATAATATGTATGATGACTTGAGGAGAAGCAAAAGATAGAGAAAGGAAACTTATTTTGGAGATGATTTTTATATTTATCTAGTTGAATATGATCCAACGAGTTTTTTAGAAGCTACTAGTGCTCCTGATGCAACACATTGTGATAAGGTCATTAGGATTGAAATTGACTTAATTAAAAAAAATAATACATGGATTTTAATATATTTGCCTACATGATCAAAACTCATTAGTTGTAAGTAAATATTTAAGAAAAAATATCATCTTGATGGATCCATAAACAAATATAATTAAAGGATTTTACTCAAAAATCCAATATTGATTATTTTGATATCTTTTCCCCTCTGACTAAGATTTCCTATATTCAAGTTTTGTTAGCTCTAGCAGTTATCCATAAACTAATTATATACCAAATAGATATTAACATTGTCTTTTGAATGGTGAATTAGATGAGAAAATTTATATGATTCAACCTGAAGTATGTATTGTTCCTGGTCAAGAGAACAAAGTGTACAAACTTTTAAAATCTCTGTATGAATTAAAACAGACACCAAAATAGTGGCATAAAAAAATTGATAGTGTTTTAGGTTGTGCTAATAAATGTGTGTACTCTAAATTTGAAAATGGTGAATGTGTCATTATATGTTTATATTTAAATAACATGATAATATTTTGTATAGGCATTGACATAGTCTTTAAAACTAAGTTGTTTTGGAATCTAAATTTAAAATGAAAGACATGAGTGAAATCAGTGTAATTTTGGGAGTTAGGATCATAAGGAAGTGAGATAGTATTTTACTATCCCAAGAATAATACATTGAGAAACTTTTTAGGAAGTTTGGGTATTATAATGTCAAACTAGTAAGTACCCCTTATGATGTTAACTCTAAATTTAAGAAAAACAAAGGAGACTTAATTTCAATATCAGTATGCTAAAATAATTAGAAGTTTACTGCATTTAATGAGCTTTTCTAAAGTAAACATTATTTATGCAATAGGTAGACTAAGTAGATACACTCAATGTCATAGTCAGGAACATTGGGATGCCCTTGTAAGGCTTATGATATACTTAAGATGTTCAATGGATTATGTCATTGAATATAGTGGATTTCCCGTTGTACTAAAAGGGTATAATGATGCTAACGGGATCCCTGATTCAGATGAGAAAAAATTCATTAGTGGTTATGTAATTAGACTTAGGATGGTGCAATTATATGTAGATCAGCCAAGCAAACAATTATTGCAAGATTGACAATGGAACCAAAGTTTTTTGTTCTTGAAATGGCTGGTAGTGAAATTGAGTGGTAGAAAAACTTCTTAACAAATATTTTGTTAGGGATGAAACCAACTCCTTCTGTTTCAATACATTGTTATTTATAATCATCAATAGTTATAGCTAAAAATAAGAATTATAATGCAAAGAATATACATATACAATTGAGACACAATTTGGTGAACCAACTGCTAAAGAGTGAAACAATTTCCATTAACTATATGAATTCAGAACGGAATCTAGCAGATCCTCTTACAAAACCTTAGGGAGAAATGTGATTTTAGAAACATCAAGGGGAATGCGACTCAAGTCATTTGCAAACAAATAAGTAATGGTAACCCAACCTTTGTGATTAGAGATCTCATGTATAAAGTTCATATACAAGTCACTTGTTAGTTATGCTAGCAATAAAATTGATAAAAATAAATTATGTTTATTCCTATGGTGTGTGTGAAAGTTCTTGATACTGCATCATTGAGAGGTTAAACTTTGTAATTAAAATTCTATGTGGTGTACGAATTTTAGTCCAAACAAAGTTTTTAATGATTCCATATCCCTTATGGGTAGTGTATGATTTGCAGCATATGCTTGATGAAATCACTTATATGAGTGATGAAGCACTTGTTGGATTTGATGAAGACATATAAAGTTTAGAGAGTTTATTTTGTGGGTGTGTAGATAGATAGGTTATAGGTTTAGAGTTTAATCTCTTGATAGTTCAATAGATCTTGTGATAAGCGCCTTTAAAT